GTGCCTTGATTGCATATTGTAGGAAGGGTCAAAGAAACAAAATTGAGCATGTAAATTCTTATTTGACAAAAACTTTTACGTATATTTCTATGTGTGAATATTTCATTAGTACAACATACCTCTTCTTATTAATGGGGATGATCCTAAGGCCCTTAATGGAAGGGGACCCTTGGCCTCAGGTGAATAAAGTCTTTCTCATTATGCTCCTCTAAAACCTGTTTTGCCGCTACTTTAACCGACACCAACATCACCAATGTCTTTTCCACAATTGACACTATCACTATTGTCTCCAGTGCCATCAACACCACCTAGGGCACCATCTTCAGAACCTTTGTCAAAGACACCACTGCCACCAAAAATAAGTGTAGTCTGTTTATGTGGCACTCCATGCCATAAGGCCTTGTCCCACAGAGCCAGCCTAACAGCCAATCATAAATCATCTCATGGCTAGTGTATTGCATAGCAACAGGAAGAAATGATGGAATGGTTTGACACCCTAATAACAGTAATTTGTGATCCCACAGAATCAGCTAGCCCCTTTGTCAAAACCCATGAGGTTCAACAACCAGCGCCACCATCCACTACATCTTTAAATGCGTCTACTACATATGTGCCATCAGGGGAACACACAAGAGAGGACATCCTTCTTTCACTGTAATTGCAGTCTGCATCCACAAACAAGTTTGCAGTATATCTTGTGCAGCACTGCTTTTTACCACAAAGATTAGATGGATGCAATAGAAGAGGAATTGGGAAAAAGCTTACCCTAGATCCAGTAAAAATGGAAAAGATTAGAAAATAATATTTAAATCATTTCCCTTGTAGCTAACACAACAGGAACAGCTGTGACATGACTGTCATAAAGCCATTGACAGTTACCTCTGTAATAGGAAGATGCCTGAACAAATACACCTTAATTAGAAAATATATAAACTGCTCTGTGTTTGTGTTCTAATTTTTTAATCATTAAAAATTTCATTTAGTTTGATTTTCTACGATAAAATGAGCTAGGTTATGATGTGAATAAACTATTTGGCTTGTCACTATTTTCTTTGAGATATTTTAATGCCATAATCAAACTTTGAAAGCGTGGCGAGAAAGATCTTGACATTATTGTCTACATAAGGTCAGGCCTTTTCTTCACTATTTAATGTGTAACTTTCATACTGAAACTTTTTTATTCAATGATTGGTTACTTTCGATCCTAAATTCTCTGCATGCTTCTGTATGTTTTGATTGCTTGAGGTGTCGTTGGAGATTTTAAGTGGAGCAGATGAGTGTATACACTACAGGTTGCTTGATGGATTATCAGGTTTTTCTTTTTTCATTGGTCATGTTTTCAGTAATTTTTTTTTCCATTGAAGCGAACCAGTTCAAGTAGTTTCACACTTCTAGCAAAATATCGAAAAAAGAACTTAAACCAAATTGTAAATCATCTTATCAAGCTTTAAAAGTCAGAAGGGCTTTTGTAGGTTTTTTTGCAGTTCAAAATCTGAAGATGAGGCATCAGACTTGAACAGTTGATAATTCAATTTACCAGTGGTTGTTAGGAGAGTGAAACCCACCACATTTGTCATTGTAGAATAAACTAAATATGTAAACCAATTTCAACTTTGTGTGGTGATATATTTAGCCCTAATTGTTAGACACAACTTGGAAGCCTTGGGAAAGGGGTGTGGCCCTTTCAATATCAATCAAAATGTATCAATTTATCAGAGACACTGCCTCAAGGTGAGGGTATGGAGCACCCTAAACAAAATCCATACCCCATCTCAAATTAAACGATTTTCACTTCCTTTTAACACTGAACAAAAATTCAACACCATGTCTTGAACCAACCATAGAATATCAAGTGACATGAAATTAATGTAGCATATTTCCATGGGTACATTCCTGGCCACCTTAAGAACACCTGTCAACCTTTTCAAAGGCAAGATTTATGAAATCAGTGGATCTCAGCACACACAAAAATTAAATAACAGAAAAGAAATGAGAGTAAAAAAAAAATGAATCCCAAAGGCGAAGGGAATGGGAAGAGGAGGCAAGGAAACCTCACAAAGATTTCCACTTGTTGCAGCTAAAAGAAAACATAACACTTAAGACCTCTAATTTTGTTAGCATTTTCATTCCCGGTTTTAAGGATTTTTTCACAACTTTAGAATCAAAATGTAACTTTCCTCATGTTAGAAATGCTTTTGATCTGTGTAGCAATTGTGCCAAATTTGACATTTTTGATTTATCAGCTTACATATTTGTTAACTATTCAATTAAAACTCTTCCAGTTTATTTCTGTTCCTCATTGTGCTTCAATTGCCCCCTTACTCCATTGAGGATATGTGATTTGTTTATTACTGTAATTTAGAAGTGTAAGTAAGTGTACATACCACAATGAGTAAGTAAGATGGTGACTAAAAATCTAATTAAAATCACCATTTTCTTTTCTTACAAATAAATACAAATAGCCACAAACCTAATAGACAGAGAGCATTGCAATCATTATTGCACTTTATGTACTCCGATGTAAGTAATGTATTAATAGTAGTGCAAGTACAAAAGTTGGTTTAATATAATTTATGGAATGGAAAAGACCAGAAAATAATATTTAAAGCATTTCCTTTGTAGCTAACACAACCGGAACAGCTGTGATGTGACTGTCATAAAGCCATTGACAGTTATCTTTGTCATAGGAATATGTAGGATCAGCACCCTAATTAGTATATAGATAAACTGCTGTTTGTTTGTGTTCTAATTTTTTCATAGTTAAAAATGTCATTTAGTTTGATTTTCTACTATAAAATGAGCTAGGTTATGATGGGAATAAACTATTTGGGTTGATGCTATCTTCTCTGAGACATTTTGATGCCATATTCAAACTTTGAAAGCGTGGCTAGAAAGATCTTGACATTATTGTCTACATACATGTAGGGTCAGGCCTTTTCTTGACTATTTAACGTGTAACTTTCACACTGAAACTTTTTTACTCGATGATTGGTTACTTTCGATCCTAAATTCTCTGCATGCTTCTGTATGTTTTGATTGCTTGAGGTGTTGTTGGAGATTTTAAGTGGAGCAGATGAGTGTATACACTACAGGTTGCTTGATAGATTATCCATTTTTTTTTTCATTGGTCATGTTTTCAGTAATTTTTTTTTCCATTGAAGCGAACCAGTTCAAGTAGTTTCACACTTCTGGCAAAGTATTGAAAAAAGAATTTTAACCAAATTGTAAATCAACCCATCGCCCTTTCAAAGAGAGAAGGCCTTTTGTAGGTTTAAGAGTTATCTCACATTCAAGTAACTTGTTTTAGAGAGGTTTCTGCATTTCTTTTGACTATATAATTTTTGTACATACTTATGGGCTGTTATTTATTTGATATCATCAAATGTTATAGAATTGCAGTTCAAAATCTGAAGATGAGGCATCAGACTTGAACAGTTAATATTTTGATTTACCAGGTATGGTTAATAGGGCGAGACCTCCCAAATTTGTCATGGTAGAATAAACTTTGTAAACTGATTTCAACTTTTTTTTATTTATCAGCTTACACATTTGTTAACTGTTCTATTAAAACTCTACTAGTTTATTTCTGTTCCTTATTGCACTTCAATTGCCCCCTTACTCCATCAAGGATATATGATATGTTTATTACTGTAATTTAGAAGTGTAAGTGTCCATATGACAATGAGTAAGTAAGATGGTGATTAAAAATATAATTATAATCATTGTTTTCTTACAAATAAAAACAAATAGCCACAAACCTAATAGACAGAGAGCATTGCAATCCCAATTGCACTTTATTTACTCTGGTGTAAGTAATGTATTAATAGTAGTGCAAGTACAAAGTTGGTTTAATATAACTTATGTACTGTAATTAATCTATTCCATACCAAATTTTAAACTATTTTTATTAGCATCATTTAGTTTTTTTTTTTGTATTGTAAGTTGTTAAAAGCATATGTAGATAAAAAAAAGTTTTGTGGTTTGATTTCTACTTAAAATTGCAAGAGGATGCTAATTAGCAAAGGAACAAGGAGGTTGTGCCTTGATTGCATATTGTAGGAAGGGTCAAAGAAACAAAATTGAGCATGTAATTTCTTATTTAACATTAATCTTTACATATATTTGCATGTATGTATATTTCATTAACAACATACCTTTTCTTATTAATGGGGTTGACCCTAAGGCCCTTAATGGAAGCGGACATTTGGCCATAAATGAATAAAGTCTTTCTCATTATGCTCCTCTAAAATCCATTTTGCCACTACTTTAACCAACACCAACACCACCAATGTCTTTTCCACAATTGAATCTATCACTATTGTCTTCTGTGCCGTCAACACCACCTAGGGCACCATCTTCAGAACCTTTGTCAAAGACACCACTGCCACCAAAAATAAGTGTAGTTGTGTTGCATAGCAACAGGAAGAAATGATGGAATGGTTTGACACCCTAATTACAGTAATTTGTGGTTCCACAGAATCAGCTAGCCCCCTTGTCAAAACCCATGAGGTTCAACAACCAGCTCCACCATCCAGTACATCTTTGGATGCATCTACTACATACATGCCATCAGGGGAACACACAAAAGAGGACATCCTCCTTTCACTGTGGTTGCAGTCTGCATCCACAAAAAATTTGGAGTACATCTTGTGCAGCACTGCTTTTTACCACAAGGATTAGATAGATGCAATGGAAGAGGGATTGGGAACAAGCTTACCCTAGATCCAGTAAAAATGAAAAAGACCAGAAAACACAACAAGAACAGCCGTGATATGACTGTCATAAAGACATTGACAGTTATCTCTGTTATAAGAAGATGTCTGATCAGGGACACTCTAATTAATATATAGATAAACTGCTGTTTGTTTGTTTTCTAATTTTTTATCACTTAAAATTTCATTTAGTTTTATTTTCTACTGTAAAATGAGCTAGGTTATGATGTGAATAAACTATTTGGGTTGTTGCTATTTTCTTTGAAAGATTTTGACGCCATATTTAAAATTTGAAAGTGTGGCTAGAAAGGTCTTGACATTGTTGCCAGACACTTGCATAACTTGCTAATGAACTTTAGTCTTTTGAAGCATACATGATTTTTACACGATTTTCTCATGTTTAACACTAAGAATTACCGTAACTTGACATGTCAAGGTTATTGTGATAATCACATTGAGGAATTTTTTCATTTTTACGATGGCCAATTTACGTTTTAAACTCAGTTGTTAACACTAAATTACCTTTCTATACCGTGGAAATTTCACAAGACAACAAGGAAAACGTCAAACAAAACATTAGAAGGTTTCCACGTCCAACGATAGAAGTAAGCAGAAGTTAAGCCATCTGCGAGCTTTCATATAATCTAGGTGGGAAATACACGTTAACAATGGTAAAAGACACGCATTTAAGCTTGAATTAAAGCTTATAGTAAGCTCACCTATGTTTTAACTTGTAGGTCCGTGGTTCAGAGAGCTCGAGTCGTCTTCGGCATAGAAACGGCTCCATTTACATCTGATCTTGAAGTGTTGCCTCCGGAAAGCTGAAAAAGGCAAAAGCTACGTTAAAAAATGAAGTCAAATGACTTATTCAATGATTTTATAAGCTTAATATTTGCGTACAGTCGGCAAACACTCACCAAGTAATGGCTAAAGTTGTGTAGCCCTCGATCAAGTTTGTAATGTAGCAATTAAGAATAGTTATGGGATATTCCACCCAAGAGCAAGAGCAGTTCCTTTTCAAGGTCCATGATTGGTTTAGATCAGATGTCCGACGGGGGACTGGTACGGAGACAATATGGCGGACAGAGCGGCGGACATGAGTTAAAGATTTGTATTACAAAGGTTTATTCAGTAGAATTTTGGAGAGATCTTTGGCAAGATGTTTGGTGATAAAGCACTTGAGCTTGTGAAGGAACTTAAAAGAGCCATGGAAGGGACTGTACCACCTTACAACGTGAGATATTGTTTACTTCTGTTTATTCGTAAATTGGCGGGAAAAAATACGCACAGAACTTCCTACCATTCATTGAGACTTTAAAGTAGCTTTAAAGCTAAGCGTTGTGTTTTTTGCTCGGAATTTTTACATGTTATGTTTGAATGATGTGAGACAAGTCGATGTGCAGCAGTGAATTGTTACAACATTCTCTCAAACAGTACAGTCATATCAACATGCAAATCATTTTGAGTGACTGGCTGTGAGAATCTTATTCAGATGGTAAGTATCTTTAAACTGCCGATATCTGTATTGATTTTTCCTCTCACTCAATACCTCATTCTCATTTCTTCCAACAAATTTTAATCTTTAAGATCGTTTTTGATAATTAAACTATATTTTGGTCCACCTTACCTAGCTCATCACAATAAATTTTTTGGTGCTCTCTTTCTTTTCTTTATACAAGTAATTTCATGAAATTGAAATGATTGATTCTATTTTATTTTGTGTATCAAAGGAGGATTTGATTAGGCAGGTCCTTGAGGAAATGAAGATTTTGTTTGAGCAGAACCAAAGAGAAGTGTGAGTAATACCTGAACAATCCTCTGAAAACTACCCCATGTTAAGAATCACAAACTTGGAAAATTCTAAATTTGACGAATATGAGATTGTTACTAATTGTTAATGAATCAATCTAATCAGAAGAACCTGATTTTTGAAAATGGGAATTCAGGATTATTAAGTGTTCTCAGATTACATAATGTTGTCTTGAGGAACAACTTTCTTTGATTGTTATTATTACCTTTTCTTTCAATTTGTATGAAGTATAGTTGGTTATGTTTTCATTAATTCAGAGTAATGTAGACTATGATGCAACCCTTTATGCTCCCAAGATCTCATTAGTAATTCTCCTTACTGTCGTCTATATAATTCTTATGATGTTAATTCTGAGAATGTGTTACTGGATCAACTAATAATCCCCTAATTTATCTAGTTCTCTATTCTCATTACTTTTCTCCTTGACATTTATTGATTGTGTAAGGAGAAATTCTCTCATGGTCGCTCATGCAAGTAAAAGGGTTAATAAGCAACTAGTTAATCAGGTTTACATGTATCCATTAATTTGCTTACACTAATTAATTATTTCATTTCCTTTTCCTTTGTTTAGTGCACTAACAGTCGAGGGAGAAACTGGTTTGTTTTCTGGAGTTCATCTGAGGCATGCAAGTTTAGAGAGAAATAAAAGATGTCTTCTTTCTTACATGTAAGTTAAGATATAACAATATTATCCAGATTTATCAAGTTCATTCAGTGTTTCTGGGTAATTTTGTTCTATTTTTTTCAGGGAAAATCCAGGGGTAACTTACGGGGTATTTTGAGATCTATGACATGACTGGATGGTTTTGATAAAGATAAATCTAACCATTACCTTTCAAAGAGGCTTTTTTTTAGTGAAATGTCTATTACCCTGAGACTGAAACAGAGATTTTACTGCTCAAGTTTATGAGTTCATATTAAAAGCTTGATGATTTCTGAAACTCTTTTCAACAAAATTATAATAATATCATCAAGATCTAATTAATGTATGCAAAAGCTTAAGCTAATTTTTTGTACTCTGTATACTTCTTTGTGTAATTATTTAGCTATAATAGGATGTTGAGGATGAAGGACCTCAGGTGGGAGTTTGGAACCGTTTTACCCGAAGACATCAAATATAATTTATGTGAACAAGAGGTTGGTAAACTTAATATGATAATAGCAACTACAGGTGCTTACAGCTATAGATGTAGCATGTATTTCCACTTTATTTCTGTAGCCAACTTTTTAAGCACTACATAAATAAACAATTTGAAAATTTTTTGATAATTCTGATTGAGATATTTACACAGGGATGAATTTTACTGTTTTGATATTCCTTCTTTTTTTGTATTTCAACTAATACTGTACATGAAAAAATTGCACTCTTCTGATTGGCTAAAAAACAAGTGTATTCTCATGTAACATGTGTGCAAAGTTGTAACACAAGTGCAAATTTCACTTTCAAAATTTCATTTGTCTTGACTTTCTGCATTGTTTTTTTAATGTATATTATTAATAAATAATATGATTTTGAGTACAATTTGGTGTAATGAGGGCTCGTAAATTTTTCAAAGATTACAAATTGCACTTGTCTTGCAGGCTTGTGCAATTTTGTTGTCTTAAAAAATTTACTTATGCTTATTTATACCAAACTGCACTCAGAATCATGTCATTACCTTTATAATTAAATTTGTTAAAATTTACTATAGGTTCAGTGGTTTACAAAGTACAATAAATCACTGGCAACATACATGAGGACAGTTGGTTTGGACCTGACACAGGTAACAAGACTTTCCTTCCTTTGTAACATAACTAAACTTTCATTGTCATCATCATTACTAATTTGAATACAAAGAGGGTTAAGGAGACAACAGTTAAGAGTGATAGAATTAAGACAAATTGTTATGCAAAGAGCACAGTGTCATTCCACCCAGGAGCTTAGATGGGTAGCAGCCAATTGTCAGGAAAACGTGATTAAATGCTGGGGGATAACCTTGCTATGGACTGGCATCCTGTCCAGGGGGGAGTAGTAATACTCCTAATTGCTTCATGCTATGGAAACCTAGATAAGCTCCTGCTTATTACCTAGTCATATTTGTAAAAGATAAGATTTCTAAAGAGTGGAAAAAGACCCCTAAAGGTCCTAATCCTGTAACTCCCATGAGTGACCAAGACGGAATTTCTCCTTGCAATATCAATAAAATATCAAGTATACAAGTAATGAGAACAAAGAAAAATATCAGTCAAGGGATTATTAGTTGATCCTATTCCAAATTCTCTGAACTAACATCACAAGAACTGTATGGCAGACAGTAAGGAGAATTGCAAATGAGATCTTGGGAGTGAAAAGGTTAAGGGAGGAACAGAACATGGCTCTCAGAGGTCTGTCCTGGCACTTGTTTGTTCTTTTGAGATCTGTGTAAGAATTTTTAAGAAAGCTGACGGATGCATCTCATTTTGAATTCTTAACTGACAGGACATGAAGCCACCAAAGTCACTTTACATAGAGGTATGCCTTATTTTCTTACCCAAAGTTAACTCGTTTCTCATAACTTAGGAGGTTCTTGTAAAAGTCTAAGCTTATCACATAGTTAAAAAATAATAATTTGAATTCTGCAATGCAGGTGCGATGTCTGGAAGATTATGGAGAATTTGAAACAGAAGATGGAACAGTTTTGTTATTGAAAAAGAATAGTCAGGTAGGAGGAATTATACTAAATAAGGGTACTTAACCCTTTATAGCTCAACATCAAAATGGATATTCTCCTTACTGTTCTTACTGCATTTCCCATGGTACTGACAGAGGAATTTGTGTATCATTTATGAGATTAATTTAGTCAGTGATCATCTCCTTTATTCTCATGATGTTTTATACAATGGTGATGCTGTAAGGAGAAGTTCAATACTGGTCAATCTTGGGGGTTAAAAAGTTAATATTGTTCACTCCTTTTGGGTGATAGTCCAATTTCAAAATTGACAATATTTTCTGGGGAGTAGTGATAATTTGAAAATTTTGGTATTAGTGATTAGAAAACAATTGTTTTAGAATTGCTTGATTCCCATTCTTTTATTAACTTGTAGAGCATTTAAGTTCACAAAGCAACCAGGTGGACAATCAGACATAGTTTGATGCTACTCTGGTTTAAAGATTTAATGAATGTGACTGAGAAGTTACAATCCATAGACCTAATGTCTCAAAGCTCCTGCCTAGTGTCTTCATAAGGGGTGATCTAATTGCTGCCACAAGAGGTCCTTTTATACACTCACTAATTAGCTGCCCTTTTTATACCTCGTTAGAAAAAAGGCAGCTAGCATATGGAAAGACCTTGTTGCAGCAATTAGATCACCCCTAATGAAGGTACTAGACAAGAGTGTGAAACATTGGGTCTTTGAATTTTATTTTCCTGGTTACATTCATTGACTCTTTAAACCAGAATAGCATTAAACCATGTCTCATAGAGCTTTGTTTCCTTCCCTCAGCATTTCCTGCCAAGATCTCATTGTGAACATCTCATCAGACAAGGAATCCTTGAACATATTCTGTAGAGCAGCAGAGTGGATGGTCAAATATTCAGTAACAACATTCACAGTCCCCTTAGCAAGCAAATCAAAACCCTGACAAAGTTTAATCCAGCAGCCAGAAATGTGTGCAATATCAGAGCTAATTAAGAGCCATTTCAATATATTTATAGAACTGAGGAATTGAATTTTGGTGAATGAAATAACTTGAAGTAAAGACTATTATTAAACAGTTTTTGGATTTCACTTCTTTTCTAAAAAGCAGCTACCTATCTTCCCTTCCACATTTGTCTGCGGGTTTTTATCAGATTAATGTATATGTATCTGTCTTTGATTAGTTACTAAGAACCTACCTGGATAAACATTTGAAATAATGCTGAAAATGACAGAATAAACATGTCAATGTTTAGTGCAAGTGTATTTTGATTGTACCTAATATCCAAAGGCAGCAATGTGTCAGTGATCTTTCAGGGAATAATGACTTTGGGTAATGCTTGAAGTCAATAAATTCTGCTCAGAGCTAATATCCAAACACAGCATTGTATCGGTGGTGTTTTTGAAAATAATCACTTTGCGCATTACTTGTGGTCAATAGTTAAAAAACCAATGAAGTTCCGATCGGACGTAATATCCAAATGCAGCAATGTGTCAGTGATGTTTTAGCAAAGAATCACTTTGTGTCATACTTGTAGTGCATTAATTTTTAAAAAGAAATAAACGACCGACCACTATCTGAAGCATTCATTCGTTCAAGGACTGATTCTAACTGTGCTTACAAAAACACTTATCATGAAGTATGAATGAAGCTTTCAATCGCAAGAAGACAATTCTATGTTGTATTTGAAAAAGGTCTCTTTTCTGCTTGCATCTTCCATTCCGTAAATCTCTTTCTAGTAGTTCTATGTTGCAATTGGAAATGGATGCAAGCATTTTACCTCCAAAAAGTTGTAAAATAACGATGACAGAGCCCGTGTAAACAACACAGCCTTGCGTGACTAAATTTTATGACGTGACACTTCGCGTCCAAGCGCGACAGAGAGCGTCTCTACCGTTACAGATTGGTTGCAAGATCGTTCCAGTGGACCGTTAACAAAAGCATTGTGCAATATGTGACGATTTATTCATTTCCGGGATAGTACTGGACGTAGTCGCAACTACGATCAAGCACATATCGTCATGCTGGACCGCTATGTGTTTACTCTCTCTTTTGCATTTCTGTTCAGCGTAGCTGAGTTGTCTAACAAAGATGACGGTTTTCCAGCACCGTTCTACAGAGTTTTAAGTCTGGAGAACCCGCCAATGGAAGGTAATCTTGCAAGTACTGATAATATTGAACAACTTTTTGAGAAATTAATTCAGGAGAATTGAATAGGAGGGATCTATTCACTGCGCCATTTCTTTACGGGAGAAATAATACAGGGGAGAATCTGCCTTTGGAATACCTTTAGTATCAGCATTTTGCTAAAGCGTTCGAGCCTATGCTCAGCAAGAAGACGGTTGATGCTATATTTTCCAGCGATTTCTAATCGCCTTTTCGTAAAGTTATGAGAGGTAATCGGAAACCAAAACAAATTTTACATAAATTAGCGAAGAGTCCTAATTTCAACCTTTAAATAAAATAAAAACTAAAGTTGGTTCCTCTTTTTCTTGTATGGATTTCAATGTCTTCCCTTTTCCTTCTACCAAATTTAACTTCTCGAAATCTGAGTCCATATTTTTTGACACGATTGTTTTCTTCCGTGTCGAATTGTGAGGACACCTCTTTATCAACCTTGTGCACGGAATGCGAATGACCGCAAAACGTTTAATTTTGATTTAGTTGGAGAATTATTTTTGGGAACGATATATCCAAAACGTAACGGGAAATGTGAAACTGCGGGTCTTAAGAGCGTTTGTTTGTTCGTTTGTTTCGAACTCCAATTGTCGCATGACTTTTCGCAGTCATTATCCTAACTGGTGCGGTACTAGTGTTTCGATACCTCGTTTAACCAATTTTCATCTATTTAGGGAGAGGAAAAACCAGACGCAAATCTACTAGGCACTGTTTATCAAACCTTATAAGTAGCTTCACTATCTAGGACTTGCCCAAGTACTAGTTACTCATAAAACTAGGAGATTAACAAGCCGACAAGATGGCTCAAAAGCTTACCACAACATGCAACCTTCTCTGAAGCCAAGGTTTTCTGGTCGCCCCTTATCAACTGCTCCCCTCCCCTTTAACTGTTCATGCTCCAAGGATAATACCAACTGCCTTGGCTGTGCAATTATTTTAAATTAAAACAGGAAAAGATGTTGTGATCCTACAAAATCTACTGCTGAGATCACCATTTGTGAGGCCCATCAGCACAAGTGGTGTGTACGATAGGGAAACCAGCGAGGCTGTAGCCAGCTACCAGAAGAGAAATGGCTTGCCAAGGTATAGCTCAACAAAGAAGAATCATGCCACATTTGGCAGCAAGTAGATAAGCTTTACTGTCTGTCAAGTATAATTGTAACATGAGCAATCCATACACATCTGTATGGTTAGTGAATCAGCTTTTTCTTTTAAGCAAGTGGGATCGGGAGAGGTAGGTATGTGGGAAGCTGCCGTCAATCAAGGGTTGGAGCATATGCAAGCAGAAAAAGGTGATGCTCTGAGGGAAGTGGCAGTAAAGCTAAAAAAAAAATCAGTTTTCCTTTCCTGACCCTGCCTTCTGCTTTTTTTCTTCCCATGCTTTTCTGCAGTTGTACTTGGCTTGAAGAAAATAGATAAGACCATTGCATATAGGCTAATCAAGAAATATGCATGCAATTACCCACATACTGGTAAGGAAAATGTAACAAAATGGTTGTGGGTAACTGCCAATGCCCTAACTTCTCATCCTGGAAGAGAGGAAGAGAAGCACTAATCAAGTTGGTTCATACTCCAGATGGTTGCATGAGTTATTCGTGTGAACACCTGCCCCCTAACCTGATACCCTATGGGGAGGTAATTGGGAATTCTAGGGTTAGTGACAGTAGGGTGGGGAGAGGGGTCAGACTTTTCAAAGAAATTTGTAAAAAACTAAATGGACCTCCAGAGTTGCAAGAAAATGGCCTAAACCAAAAATCTAGTAATGGGATGGATATCAAAAATTTTTTTTTAACAATCCACATTATGCTTACATTCAGATAAGAATAATTTTTTTTTCACTTGAATGCATGAGTGCTTAAATCTAACTATATTTTGGATATGCAGATGGTAAATCAATTAAACATGTGAGGCTAGAGAAAAAGCTGTGGTTTTATCAACTCCTGACCCCATTGTATAGTTTTGTAGTTAAACAATTTGCAAGACTTGGATGTATAAGGTTTTAAGGAACAGAGTCATAAAACCCACAGAGAACTGAATTTAAAAAAATTGCCTTTACTTCAGCAATGGTGTATTGAATGCAACAACAGCCTCTCTTGTTCTCAAGCAACTGATGTATGACGGATATCGAGACGATCACACTGTGCCTTCAGGGTATAAATTTAAGGTAAACAGTGGAACAAAAAATCAACTTTATCATTCAAAGGGAAAACCCTTCCCTGATCGAATGGCTAAAGTTAAGTTTAAGATCAAGGGTGTTTGTATAGTCCTCTTTAAAATGATATATTATGTAATAGTGATCTGGAAACCATTTAAGATGTAGCAGATGAAAGGGAATGGCCATTGCTTTCCATACTGATTTTAAAATTGATATATACAGGTTCATGTTCCTGTGTACAAAGATCGGACAATTGAAACAAATGCCACTCTTTACGACTCAAATAACAAGGTGATGTAGAATCAGCAGATTGTAATTTTTTAATAAAGTTACTTTTTGATTGTCAATAGTCTTTAATTTGTTGGACAGAGAAATTTTTAGTGAAATTTTTAGTTTTCAATCAATTACCTTAATATACAAATCTGCAAATTAAATTACTAAACAAAAATATTTTTTCTCAAATGCAGGTCATGTACACATTTCGCGCACGTTGCCATGGTGCCATGAATGCTGCTGGCAAAGATATAAATCAGCTTACAAGGAATGGAAATACTCCAACTGGACTTGTGGTACAAATTCCTTATTTAAATTTTCCATCCAAGTTTTTTTTTTATCATTGTCAATGTAGTATTACAGTACAGTGTCTGACATTATGTGAATATTTATCTATTTTTTACAATAATAGACATTTGACCTCAACAGTCCTGAGCCAGACCCAAAATCATTTGGCCCGTAAGTACTTTAGTATATTTTAAAATTATTTTAATAGAATAAATGGGAGTCAACATTAGCATTGTGAACCTTTTTGTTTTCATTTCAAATTAATTTACTAGTGTTCTTGTAAAATCCTTCATTATTGGCAACTATAAGCCCCATTACCTTTAAACCCTTAGACTAGGGTCTAAAATCTCCTTACAATATCACCCCTGAATCAAACATTTAGGTCACAAGAATAAAGGAAATGGTCACCAACAAAACAAACTCTTGATTTTTAAACAAATTTTCCTTGTCAGCACCTTAGGAAATGTATAGAGATCAGTTTAGAGAATATGCAACTGATTTAAGGGTGTAAAGGGTAAAAAAATGCTCACAGGTGTCAACCTGTTTTTATCAGTCATTATGATGAAACAAAATGTTATTTCCTTTGTGTTTAGGTATCCTGTCATAAGAGCAGTCAAAGGTCTAAAAGGTGACCAAAATATATTTTTACATGAGGGTGTGTGGGAGGGTGGGGGGGTGGGGGGGAGGTGTGGCATTGAGATCCACAGGGGTCTAACATTCTCCTTAAAATCCATTATTCCAAGATTTTTTCACCAGATCATCCTAATCCCACCCACATCTCCTTCTAAAAAGTTTGATTTTTCTTGGAATTTTTCCACTCAATGTCCCATATCTTAGTCCTTTTAATCACAATTTGTAACTGCTACTTTGAAAAGTTTCCAAATGGGAAGTCCCTTGATAACTTCAATATCAATCCTTGTTTCCCCTTCTCCCAAAATTCTGAAAGCTAGGCTTTAAATTAGCTTTAAATTCTATTAGAGCCCTTAAAGAATTGAGTGAGGAAAAATTTTCATCTTTACTACTTTTTCAATATTATTTAGACAACTGCCATTTAGAAATCACAGGCTTGACTTGTTCATGCTTCATTAAAACTTAATAATGATTGGAAAGTTTTAAGTTAATTAGAAACTTGACTTTTAATGGCTTGGCCTACAGGAAATGCTGCAATTGGTAAAAACAAAGATGACACCTTTCTAAGTGACTACAGGAGTGGAATTTTAATGCACACTGGAGAGTGGGATCATTGGAATCCATCTGAGCCTATGCCTAACAGGTTAGGCCACAACTATTTTATGAAAACTTTTGACTTCCAAGATCTGAAAATCAATTCTCTTAGTGGTCTTCCCAACATTTTTAATCTTAGAGGCTATGAGAATTTGATGAAAGATCAACTAATTCATAATTTTATCCTTCTTCGTCTCACCATCTTTTGAATGATTTTGAAAAATTTGGTCTTCTTGCATCTCTTCCAAACTCAGAGAAAGAGGCAAAAGTAGGGAACATAAACCCTGCAAGTTCCAGAGACATTAAACCATCCCTTCTTCATTTTAACAATGATTTCACCTTTAGATGGACTATTTGAATAGAGAAAGACTCTTTCAAGTTCCATTTCAAATCTCATTGCCCTTTTTATGTATTTTTCTACTTCAACAGTCATGGATGCATACACGTGCACCCAACAGACTTGAAAAACATTGACGATATCCTTGTACACAAGCTGGGTGTGGTTATACACAAAAATCCTTTTGAAGAGAACCCATACCCCTATGTACCTCAAGGCATTCTATCTGTTGAGCAAATTGGCTGATACTTATAGAAATAGCATGTTCCAGGCATTCAGTCAGTTAAGTAGAATATAATGGCAAATGGTACAATAGAAGTGGAGTGAAAAAGCAAGAGAGGTTTTGGTCAGTTTAGCCTCCCTCATGTTTTTCATTCCTCAGGAATGTTATTGAGCTTCATTTTTACGAACTGATTGCCTGGAACAGGCTATGATAGTATAAGGAAGTATAACATCACTAAATGAGTCCTTTTCAATCAAGTGTTGTTGAATTGAAACCACGTAATCATTGTAATCACAATGGCTGATCAGAGCAAAGCAAATTTGTCAAGGAGTCAATGGGAACTCAAAATGAACATGAGCCTTAATTGCAGGAAAGCAGAAGAGACTAAGTACCAATTGGTTCTAGTCTTGCATCTAAGTAGTGAGGAGAGTGGTCCAAACTGTCTCAGCTGATCAAGGAGCTAAGTAAAGAAGAGCATTTTTCCACTGGGTGTCAGAAGTAATCTGAGATTTCCTTCCTTCCCATTGTGACTGGTCCACTGTGCCACTCTCTAAGCCAATCAGATGCAAAACTAAACTCAATCACAACTTGGTCATGATCACCCCCCATTTTCCTCCCCTTTACATGATGTGGTTGTTTACTGCAAGTTTTGTTGACTCTCAACCCTTCACACCCTAACACCAATATGCATATTCTCCATACTCTTCTCCATACATTTACCTAGGTGTTAACAAGGAGAATTTATTTCACAATCAGGAGTTTCTTTAATTGGTGATCATTTTCTTTATTCTTGTTACCATAATGTGTGATTCAGGAGTGATATCGTAAGGAGAATTTGGATTCTAGTCACTCTTAGGGTTTAAAGGGTTAAAGGTATTTTCCTCTCTTCTGATTGGCCATTGTGATTACTTTGGTCTTGGTTTTACAACACTCAATCATAAAGCAAAGCACCCATAAGGGATTGCAGCCCTAGATTACTTTGGACACTTGGTGAAAATTGTTCCAGACTAATAGCGATCAATAATTATCCAAAGAAAAAGAGACCCTTCATTTTTTTTAAATTATATTCAAGATTACAAGCTCAACAACTACCCAAAGTTTTGATCTACTAAATGGAGAGATTTCTTTGCTCTTTTCAAAAATTATTAATTGTAGATTAATTTTGCATGTTTTTTCATTGATAGTGATGGTTGCATTCATGTCCACCCTGACGATTTAAAGACCATTGATCAAATTCTTAAAAAGCTTGGTGTGATTGAGAGACAAAATACTTTTGGAAAACTGCCATATCCTTATAAACCTCAAGGTTTGCTCTCAATTGAAGAGATTTTCTCTAGTGAGTCTGTGCCATTCAACAAGGGAAGCATCGACATATTGACCATGACTACTAAAATTTGAATTACTTTTTCTTTTAACTTTCTACTACCACTTGGTAGACAACATTTGTATCACAGGCAACCCAAGTAGGCTTAGAAATATGCTAAATTATACATATTATTACAACGACCTTGTGGGGGAATGCAATTGATGTTTTGGTTGTAGCCCTCTAATCACACAATCAATGATACCATAACTTATTGAAGAATTGTAGTAATGAAAAGTTACATATCATCTACTTCCAGACATTTAATCATTAATGAACAGGCTTGGCTATATATAGACAGAGATCTCAGAGTTTATATCATTATTATATTATATCAGAGTTTATAACAAATTGGTTGGCTACACGTTACGTAAGTCTTCTTGCAAAAAAATTGAGTGCAATTCTTCAATGCTCTCATTTTTCATAGATCAGTATTTTAAGTAAAAGGATAATGAACAGAAAACTAAACCCCTTTTAAAATTAAAAACTTTTTTTAACAAGATGTAGAAATAATACTCAGGGTTGCCATTCAGTACATTTAAACTTCTTTTATTTTTATTCTTACATGACAATTTAATAAATGGTAATCATTACTAGTAAATGCGAGCTCTTACAAAGTAATAATAGAGGCAAACTGTAGACTAGTGATTTGTCCTGAATTGGTTGTCTCTTAATTTACCCTGATGCACCTCATTGATAACATATTTCCTACTAAATTGAATTTTCACATGTTATTTTTGTTTTCGGTAAAAATACCTTGAAAATTTGAACCTGTCTGACCTCAGGTAATACATGACAGTCATGCATTTCCCAAATTTGGTAATACTTGAATGAATATGTACAAATGGTGAATAAAAAACTTTTAAATGTGTTATACTGGTCAACACAGTAAATTTGTTGTGGTGGTTGTTGCATTGTCATTATATCACCATCATCAGCATAATCAACATAATGAACTAACAGTCATAATCACCTTCACCTCTTCACTACCAAATTCTCCAGAAGAGATAAGAATACCTAAGATTCCCACTTCACTGACTTAAAAAAAAGCACTTTCCCAGAACAGACTGGTTTGGTTGGTGGATATCAATATCACATAGATAAGAAAAATATTTTTCTCTGAGTGAAATGTGCTGAAAGGTCCTATTTATTCTAGTTATCATCACAATAAATTATACTATTTCTAGAACAAAGGGGTTTTTTTCGATGTGAAATGTGTTGAAAGGTCTAATTTATTCCAGTTATCATCACAATAAATACCTTTTCATCCCTCCACCTCTCCCTCTCCCTCTCTCTCCATTCCTTTGATCCAAACAATCAGAGTTTGGCATTTTCATGTCCTTGCAAAACTGTACTTTCTAAAATTTCCTTTCCTATCTACTTAAAGAATTTGAAAGGCATAGGTCTTGTAAAAAATAAGGTCTATACACACAAGATAAATTATATCCCAAATGTATATACAATTGGATCATTTGTTGCATCCTTGTGGTATAAATAGTTGGTCTTTTGCAACATGCTACACCTCCCAGCTGTCCATCCACTTGTAGACTGCAGCAGTTGAGTCAGGAAGATGAGCCATGGGGCCAGACATGCCATAGGAGAGTCCTCGGAATAACCAGAAACTGTCAAGGAAGGAAATGAAGTTATTAATGATATTTTAGTTTTATTACACAGTACACATTGTCACTTGTGAAGGTGGAGTTAATGGTGTAATCATGGCCAACCCTCAGGGTAGCACTTCAAAATGTTGTTGCATCGTGTTATGCAACAGCCCAACCCAGGACAATACCAAATCAGCCAAACAGGAATCTCACCAAGAATACACCAAGATCTTGCTATGATTGCCCTAGGATCCTGCCCAGATTAAGCTGTGGCAGTTTGAAGATCTCTCCAATGCAATATGCAATTGATGTAAGGCCCCTCAGTGAACTCACATTCATTACAGATTTTACATCAGATTTTACATCTGTCTGTCCATCACATATTATTAAATATCCAGTCTATCCTTGTGCATTTAAGTCACTATCAGTTGCAACTTTTCGAACATTTAAGTAGTTGGTATCTTCAACAGGCTCAAGGTGAGACAAAACTCCTGTCTTGTGCAAGAAGATTGGACTGTTCACCCTTTGGCCCTTAACAGAGAATAGCATCTAATTTCTAATTACAATATATGTCACCCCTGAATCACACATTAAGGTCATGAGAATAAAGGAAATGATCACCAACTAAGCAGGCTCCTGATTGTTGAAAAACTTCTCCTTTTCAGCACAGTAAGGAGAATATGCATGCTGATTTTAGGGTGTAATTTAAAGGTTAAACTACCTGATGATACATCCAGCCAGAAGCAAGCATATAGTACTGTAGTAAACCATCTCTTTAAACTTTTCAAGCTTTGGAAGCATAGCTACTGATTTGCACAAATATTGGCTCACTATACCTGAAAATCAAACAGTAACCTTACTTTCACTAAATAAAACATACTGGATAAAATGAACCAAAGAGAATGGATCCACCATGTTGTCCTACATTGTTCTTTAGAAGTTAATTCTTAAGCCAGCAGACAAGCTATAATTGGCGCTACAAGCAGTTTCATCCATCAAATAGTTCAGGTTGCCAAGCAAATCAAGCCAATGATAGGTTTAAAAAGGCTCTTGCAACTGGGCTAGTCAAGATCATTGTGTGTATATAAACATTGCCAAATAGCAAACAAATACCAGGGTATATTTTTTCATACACTACTAAACAAATCCCACAGACAGATGTCTTGCATTTATTGCAGTACGGAATTCTTTAATCAGCCTGAAACCTGATAAACACTTCACAGTCATGATGAAGTATCTAGTTTATAACTCACCAGCCATCATGGCACTGTAGAGATAAGCAGGAAAATAGTGATGGAAGTACAACACTCGACCCATGGCATAAAAGGGAAAATAATGCAAGGCCCAACCAAGGAACAACCAACCAGAGGCTGACTCCATTCTTTTCCTACGAGCTGAAAATAGAGATAAGAGAGACAATTTATACATCTTGATCCCTAAAGTGACCCAACACCTGAAATAGTTATTCTTTTTCTTTGATTGTAAAATTAGAACCGATGTGTATGAATGTACACGCTATTGTAACCCTGTAACTCACAGAAGTGATTAACTTGCAACTTCTCCCTGTAATATCCAAACATTATTCACCAAACAGGTAATGAGAATACAAACTATCAGGTAGAAGTTGTTATCTTGATCTGATTCCAAATTCTTGTAACTAATTTACAAGAAAATGTGTAGCAGCCAGAGGGGAGAATTAAAAATCAGATCTTGGGAGTTAAAAGACTAAGATGCCGAGAGGTACATAACTGCCAATGCTTATCTCTAGTTTCTGTAACATAAAGCAACAACACACACTTCTTGTTCCCCTAGATTAAATGCAAGTTCATTAAAAGATAATCCACCCAACAATTTGTCAGATTTCACTTAAGTTCACCAGTGTGCGTTTTTACTCCTCAGTGGGGAAAAAATTGTCAGACCTAAGTATCTTGCTCAAGAACAGAATGGGAGAACCTGCTCAGAGCTTGAATGCCAACTTTTTAGTTCTGAGATGAGTGCACTTAAGCCATAAATCCACCACAACTTCTCCAGTAGTAATTTACACTACAAGAACATTTATAAACAATAGCCAAAATGGGTATATTGGTAATACATAACATGATCATAGAACTATTTCAATGTATAAAACAATGCTAAATTCTGGAGTTTTACTCAGAGAGAGATCCAGAACTGGCCAAGACAAAGAATTTAAATTAACACCGCAAAACCTATTTTAAGAAGGTGAAAATAAATAGCTTAGGAGTAGCGAGGGAGAAGCTTGTACCTTGTTCTACAGGTGGATCAATGAAGCCTCTTTGTGTTCTTACAGCATGGAAACAATACAGCAGGCCAAACAAGCACATAATTCCCAATATGTACCACCAAATAACCTGAAAGCATTGTGGAGAAAAAGAATGACTAAGTGAATCACATTTATTTGATTACTTTAATTTGTCCCATCAAAGTGCAAGTTACATGTCTTAAGTGTGTGTTTTTTAAAAGTAAAACAAAAACTTACTGGATTGCCAAGGAGATAGACACGATAATCTGCACCAGAAAATACCTGACCCTGCAAAATGAAATATTGAGAAGTGAGTAATTTGTAACCATTTTCACCCTAACATCAGAAGGCAGAATCTCTTTATTGTTGTATCCCTACATTTCCTATGATACTACATTCATTTTTTTCATAGAATATGCCCCACTATCAAGTCTGTACTCAGGCCAAGTGGCCTATCCAGGTGGAGCTTATCCCAGTTTCCATAGCATGAAGTGATTAGAAGTATTACAACTCCCCCAAGGATTAGAATGGCAGTCCATTGCTAAGCTAACCCCCCCCCCTGCATTTCATCAGGCTTCCCTGACAATTCATGCAACATGCTAGATTACAAGCAGTTCCTGGTTTTCAGCAAAGTCTGTCCCGCAAGTAAAAAGAAAATCAGTGCAAACATACATTAATGTTAGTGCACCACACTAAAAATTGAGATAAGGCTCACAAAAGAAGGCACTACAGACTTAGCGATAGTTCCATGAGGCATGTTGATATCAATTATTTTTTCAACTGATCTTTTTTATTCTCACCACACACTCTGCTGAAAAGGAGGGGCTACTCATAGTCTAGTGACACACCTTCTACATACTGCTAAGATCAGCAACATCAAAAGCATCATGTGACTAATTATAGGATAAGAATGGTGGTAATATTTTAGCTTGGTAGTAAAATTAAAAAATGTAATATCTTCTTTTCAATCTATTTATCTAACCCGGTAGTTAATTGGCCACTGCCAGGGTTGTGACGTCACTTCCCCTTCCTTTGGTTTGAATCCAGAGTTGGTCTGTAAACAAAGAATAATAAGCAGGATGAAATATCTCTTGAACAAAATAATAAAAACTTAGAAGCTAGAAGCAAAATGAATAAGTGTGCACAATTTATTTCGAACAAAAGTTACTTTGGCATTAAAAAATAAAAGTACATATGCAAGAAGAGGCATTGTAAAATTCCAGAAAGAAAGATAAGCCTTAAATGGCCTTGACTACCTGAGAATGTTCAGGGCGCAACATGATAGAAAAGTAAAGCTCTGTTTAACACTAGTTCACAACTAGTTTCCTCTTGTTTTCCAGACAGTTATCTACTACCTAGATTTACACTGCTAGCCCGAAAGAGTTATTCCAAAGGTTTGGTGTACTTTCTGGTACAAAATAATAATTGAATGTCAATTGCAACACCATACCTGAGCCATGACAACATGTGATTCATAGACACTACCAAGAAATGAAGGCTTATAAAAGTCTGATGCAGATTTTGGAACTAAACGTACAGAAAAAAGAATCATTTGATAATAGTTTATTACATCAGATGGGCTAAGAAATAAAATATTTATCTGACAGCAGAGCTGGTAATTTACAAAAGAAAACAGAAAATAAATAATAAAATAGAAATTTTTATCATGAATGTGATGATTGAACCCTCCCTGGTTCCCTCAGTTGGGTAATGACACCTCATATACAGCCATGAACACAAAAACAAAGAAAAATCTGCTGTGACATGTATGGAATTGGCATGTGTAAGACACTGGTGTAAATAAGCAATGAAAATGACTATAATTATTTACATGTAAAATGATGTCTTAAAACCAGAGAAAGTGTCAGTTATTGTGAGAAAATTGTTTGTCTGTTGATTATTTCAAAGTGCATGATGACTTTTCTTGTCCATAACAGTTTCTCCAAAGTAGCCAACCATACTTAACATCAGCTGACAAAGATTAAAATTTCTATCAGTCTAAAACAGGCATGTTCCTTCATTTGTCTATTTAAATTGGCCAGCATTTCAGAAATGAGTGGCCAGAAACTATGCCACCCACTGATGCTTTTGGAGGACACTGCCAAATATATAATTGTCAATTAACAAGCCATAATGAACATCAGCCAGCAAGTGTTAACATTTATTTTGTATCAAAACAAGCATATCAATTTTTTTTTCAATGATACAATGTCTAATCAAATTGGCCAGCACTCCAGAAAAAAATGCTGCTTGCTGGTGCTTTTGAAGGACACTGCCAAAACAAATAATTAACACATTGTTGCTTTTCTTTTTCACCTCTTTCATTTTCATGACCCTCAACATTCCAAAGGTTATGTGAATGATGTACAATGGGATTGCAGGTGACCTCAAGCTGCTCCCATCCCCTGGAAAAAAATTAAAACTGTTGCTGAACAAACTAACATTTACAACTCTTCTTTTTGACGTTTAAGCTAAGACTAGCTATCCTCAATAACATATAAAATACAGAGAGGACTAGTCTGATAATGGCTACACACAGGTTATTGTACATTGTTTGATTATTATTATTATTATTATTATTATTATAAAAATAAAAAAAATGATTATTATTATATTATTACTATTTGCATTTCTAGACTCAATTTTAACCCCTGGCATTATAATTACTTTTGACATCCTTATTTTCTTGATGATCACCCAGACAAGCCTCAGAAATCAGACACCTTAAATGCTGACTTACTGAGCAACTGACTAACTGAATGACTGACTGTCCAGCTGACTGGAAACTGACTGAATTGATTAAAAGACTAACTGACTAACTCACTGACATGTGTAAAAAGAAGAACAGATCACCAGCATTCAAGCAGACAGTTACAAATAAAAAGGTGTAGAATTTCCCTTTTGATAAATCCCTTCATCAAGCTGGAAATATCAGCATTCACCACTCACCATTTTGGTAGGACCTGGGTACTTCCATGAAGAGCACAGCCCAAGTTGACATGAACAAGTCTGAAAACTGTCTTCACAGTCTTAATTCGTCCATCTTCACCTTCACCACTCACAACTTCAAGACGCCAAAAATCATTAGCATCTCCTTTCCCACTCTAGAAGAATTAAGTTAATTCAAACGCTTGTAAAATAAGCTTTTGATTGAAAATAAGGAACCATTTATGGTGACAGAAATAGTGTTTGTGCTTACTTTAGAAAAACACTGAGACCCTTCATGTGTCAATTCAAAAATAATCTCAGAGACTGAAACCTCATTTGCACTACAACACACCACAATTTGGACAAAATCCAGCCACATTAACTGTACCACTTAACCGCTTGACTCCCAGAGGTGATTAAACATAACTTCTGCCTAAAATATATCTAAACATTCTCCAGCAAAACGGCAATGAGAATACTCAAAGTTATCCAGAAGAGGTTGTTCTCTTGATCTAACACCAAATTCTTGTAACACATTTATAAGGAAATGAGTAGCAGCTAGAGGGGAGAATTAACAATCAGATCTTGGGAGTTAAAGGGTCTATCAGAAAATTCTATGTCTTGATTATTGATAGACTAAAACTCTGTCATAAGTTCTTTTATAACTGCCAATACTCACATCTCCATAACCTGTTACTTGATTATGATGAGTGGTGAGTGGTGCTTTTTCTTGATGACTGTGAAGATTTCTCTTTGTTCTGGAACAAAGTTAGCAAGTTATTGTTTACACATGTCACATGAACATGGAGAGTATCTGTTTGGTAATAGATGACATCAAAATGTGGTAAGAACAAAAAAGTGGCACACAAAGTGCAACAGAGTGCACCACCAATGTTCTTACCACATTTGGACATCATCTGTGATGCATCACTGAAGAGATGCATTGCAACAAGGATTCTATACCTATATTCTTATGATGAACACGCACACTTAAGCCTGAGGGTGACTAGCATCTAATTTCTCCCTAAGGTATCATTGCTGAATCAAACATGAGGCCCATGAGAATTAAGGAAATGATCACAAACATGAAAAGCTATTTATAAAGCTATTTATTTGCATCTAGATTCTCCTTGTCAGTGCCATAGGAAATGTATAGAAAACCGTATGGAGAATATACCTGCTAAGGTTAGGGTGTAGAGGGTTAAAATAATAAAATCATTGCTGAACATACCCAACATGCTCCAGCCTGATCCAGTCTCCATTCTTGAGGTATTCAATAGGTAGTTGATCATCTGTAAGGTGGTGTACATAAAAATAGTTATAGGCTGGAGTTAGTATTTAAAAATGCAATGAACCCTTTAACCCCTTAAAGTGATACACATCTAATTTCTCCCAACAGTACCGACCCTGAATCAAATGTTAAGGCCATGAAAATAAAGGAAATGGTCATGAAGTCAAGAAGCTCTTGATTATTAAGCAAATTCTCCTTGTGAGCATCATAGGAAATGTATAGAAATTAGTATGGAGAACTTACAAACTGTTGGGGTGTAAAGATGAATGAGAAATCTCAGCCATAAACTTACTGTAATCTTCATAGGCCTTTTTCACCAACCATTTGTTGTTGTCATCTTTGTGAGAGTAGCAAGTAATCTGTGAAAAGAGCATTTTAATTACGATGAATGAAAAATGTGTCTTCATTACTGGTAAGTCATCCTGTGGAAACTGTGATAATTAATTTTCTTATCAGACCTTTTATACCAAAAGGGAAAGACCCAATCCAGCGACTGTGTAGCAATTCCCTTTTCCATTCCCATCTTATTCCCATCTATCCAAACCTGAAGTAGACAATCTCAACACTGTTCCCAAAATTCATACAATGCCTCTCCAACAGACATCAACAGGGAACTTATAAAAACATTAACTAGGACTTATCAAAACAAATTCTTGTATGTGAAGACTGGGATTTGTCACAGCGAGGAACACATTCACATGCTGTTACTGGTATGGACCTTTTAAAAAAGGGCCATCAAGAAGACACAAACAGGGGCCTCCAATTATTGTGCCAACAAAGCCACTAGTTTAAGAGAAATTCATATTAAAACATACTGACCTGTTGCTGCTCAGGAGGATGTTCTTTGGGGTAAAGATGATGATGTGAATGTAAAAGAGCTCCTCCTGCTCTAGTGTTTTTTAGTGTAACGATTGAACCAAAAGCAAGGTCTATAAAAAAGAGGAGTTAATTGAAAATATCAGTCTGAAGTATTACACTTGAACATCAATACTTCCTGAAAAACTTTAGTTTCAATCAAAGAGACCATTTACAAGAGAAACTTCCTCTGTGGCTAAATCGTTATTGAGAAAAACTTTGGAATTTCAGAATAAACACTTCAGCCAGTCTGTACATTCAAAAATATGTAATTCATATACCTGCAGGTACCACATTCTTGTAAAGAACATTTCCTTGTAGAGTTGACTGAAAGGCAGAACTGAAGAACCCATCACCTGGTCCACTAAATCAAAGAAAAACAATTAGTACATATTTCAAATACATAATTATTATTAACCATTTTCATTAAGTTCTTTTACACTTTTCTCTAACTAAAAATGACTTCCCTAGGAGAGAAGCTCACCCAGCATGTTCAATGAGATACTCTTTACAATCACTAGTCAGGTCAAATAATTAAGCAGTATAAACTACAAGTGAAGCCCGCTACAGACTCCCCTTGTTGCTAGAGATTGGTGAACAATCACTGCTGAAGTTCCACTTGGCAAAGAAAGAGAATTCAAAGTACTATGGCAGAAAGACCCATTGCATCCATAGCAGTCCTCCTCAACTTTGCTGGTTTGTACTTTCCTCTCAATACAAAAAACCCCCCTTGACTTTTCACATAAGATAGATTGCATGTTATGCAGGGCAAGAAGTAAATGAAGTACACTTTATTAAACAAGTTTTCCATGTAAAGATCCAATCAACAATCAAACTTAATGACTGCCACCCTATTTTAATGAATAAATTAAAATTGAAAACCTTGGCAACAAAATAACGCAACAACAACATAATGACCTTTAGATATGGTTCCTCTCAAGTTTTTTCCAGTCCTTACATCAAAATAACTTGAACAGAGGAGACCCTTATGAACAAGGCAGGCATAAGTAAGTTCACCTAAGTCATCTTATCAAGGAAATTTGACTTTGGTAACTAAAAGTAGGGTAAATATGAAATTAATATGCAACAAGTTCTCACGTTTTTGGCAGCATCTTGAAATGAACAGCAAACCAAAAGAGGTACACAAAGATGGGGATCATAATCAAACAAAGCACTCGAGCCATAAAGTGTTTACCAATCTCAAACTGGAACAAAGTAAAAAGACATTGTAAATATAATGATAACATCTTATGCTACATGTAATAACACATACAACACTTTCACATTGCTGAACATCATGCAGAACACTTTTCACACAAGAACCTCTTTTGTGACCCAGCCAACCTGCAAGTTATTTGTAGATCTAAGGTTCAATTTCTTGAAATGGCCGCTACTCTTTTTTTCATCCTGTGCTCTTGACATAGCAAATAACTTCATCACTTAATTTCCTCATTTTGACACACCTCCTTTGCACCATAGCAAATTTGAATCATGGAGATCAGAGAAATTTTTATCAATATTCAAATCAAACCAAATAATGACGTTTATTTATTAATATTCTGATATAATAAACAGGCAATGATACTAACCAGAGACAAAGACAGATCTCCTAAAAGATCCCAAAGATTTAAAACTGTTGTAATACCAGCCCACAGAATCACAAACAAACCAACCCATTTGCAGCTGAGGGAAGGAAAACACAGTAATATTTTTGTAAAAAATTCAAATGAAATAAATAAACATTCAAAATGAAAAAAATCCCTGAAATACTGTTAACTTAGAGGATCACACTACACATAGGGGTACTGGGAAAATTAAAATCATTTTGTGAGGGCAAAAGTTCACCGATTCAGATGAAAAAGACTAAAACTACATTTCCACTCAGTTTTAAATTTAATCAAGAAAAGACAGATCACTTTGTACCGAAAACCATGATTGTATAACAAGTTAAACATCCAAAAAAGAATAAGACAGAAAGATGGCATTTGCTTAGTACATAACTTTACAGATATTACCTGAGGGCTAACAAATAGCTAAACTACCCTACAAACACTTGATGGTGTAACTCAGAAGGTACTTGTTGGCCAACATTTAAAGGAGAGGCAGATGAAACATATTAATCGATATGTAAGTTAAGCAGTTTCAGTCAGTCACTCACCTAAATGCACAAGACAAAAATACACCAGATGCTGCCATCCAAGCCCACCACTCAAAGGTGTAAGGACTTGTATATAAAAAGAAACAAACATGAAGTTAACCATCGATAGCGTTACAACATACATGCAGTGAGACACCCAATATCTACAACAGCAATAAAATATTTGACAGTATCCTCCCTTTTAGGCGGTAACCAGTGAAATTTCCCACCTGTAGCACCTCATATCATTGCCTAAAATCACTTGGAATTCTCAAAAATTCAACAGTTAAAAGGATTGCTCTGGTGGTTTGAATATTTATTTTACTTGTCATGCTTAAAACAAACTAAGCAGAACATTTTTGAAAGATTTCAATTACATTGTGGAGTGCCATAGTCTTGTAAAGCATACTCAAATGGACCCAATCTCCCCATAACCAATGTTGCATTTTTTTCTGACATTAAACAGCAATGAGTAGATAGCAAATGAGGTACTTACACATTTTTGCAGTTTTGAAACTTGGTAAAGGAATAAGTTGATAACATAATATAAAACATTAAAACTGGATCCAGTAAAATGTACTGTGATATTGTAAGGCATCCATGATCTGCAATGCAAAATGAGAACATAAGGGCATAACAGTCCCAAACTAACATCACAAGAACTGTATGGCAGACAGTAGAGAGAATTACTAAAAATAAGATCTTGGGAGTTTAAAGGGTTAACCCTATAACCCCTAGGAATGACTGGCATCTAATTTTTACTTACTCTACCACCCTTTAATCAGATGCACAGGTAATGAGAAGAAAGGAAATAATCACCCATTTACAAGGCACTTGATCAAAAACAAATTCTCCCTGTCAGTACGTTCGTAACTATACTAATTTATGGCAATGTTAGTTTGGAGAATTTGGTATTAGATTAATATCCCCTGATTGATATTTTTCTTCATTCTTATCACTTATTTGCTTGATATTGTCTTGGTATTGTTAGGAGAAATTCTGTCCTGGTCACTCATGGGAGTTAGAGTGTTTCATAACTTCTAAATGATTTATTCAACTTACCAAAGACTATGAATGCCGTGCTCAGAAGGGAAGCGCCTGTTGACTTTGTTAGCTCCCACACAGTAAGATAAGCAAGTGGTACACACAGGGCACCCAATATTGCACAAAACTAAAACACACAAAAAAGAAAGAACAACAATAATGGTTGAGATAATTTCATACAGTTTCAATATTGCACAAAACTAAAACACAAAGAGAGAACGACAATCTTACATGTAGTGCTTGACATGACTTAACAGCTTCCATGATGACATTAAAAAGTATTCTGGACATAGCATATACTGTGTGTTACTATGCTCAAAAAGGAGATCAAAGGTTTAAAATGAATAGAATATAAATACTGTTGATTCCATCTACATGTACCATTCCATGCATGTGATAAAAAATGTTCTGTTAAGCTATCAAACTTCAATGTTTTAACAGCAAAACTTCCAATTTTTTTCCCATTCAGGTGAAGCTTTTACATTACCTACACTTCAGAGGAGGTTTTTGTACTTGTTGGTGGTGGTCATCAGTGGCTTTTCCAGTCAACAAACAAGGCAAAATTTCAAATGTGGCATACTACTCTCTGCTGTTTTACAAAATCAAGTGACAGATCTGCACAGCTCCATTTGTTCACAGGGGTTAGAAGAATGTTGAGCATTGATGCAAAGATGGTATCAAACACAGTCAAACTTTTCAGTTTTTCTCTTCAAACAAAGGGGTTTGATGGGCCAATGGAACATAATTATTTTAATCTCATGTGCAGAAGGGTACAGTAGATGCAACTGACAGCATATTTCTCCTAAAAAAACATCAGTCGCAATTCACTTTTCACCCAAGATGAAAACAGACTCTTGCAATGCTTAACTAAGACAAAAACAGGAATAGTTCATAGCTGACCCCTTAGGAAAATGTTAAACAATTAATTAGAACTATATAATAAATACAAACAGGTTAATTACTGTGCAACAAAAGTATATAATTATATAACATCTCACCAATCTCATCCCCACATAGCTGTTCTCTCCATAATTATCACCAGGTTTATCAAACGGGAATGAACCATTATAGCCACTAAGATATCCAGCCAAGGCAATTGACATCTGTTTCAAGGAAAAAAAATTAACAGACTTATTTAGGAGGATAAAATGTAAAATATAATCATGTCAGAGTGTTTTTAGATTGTTCTGTTTGGCTTTTACTCTTTACTTAATCAATTGACCATTCTCTCAATTAACCATTCATTTATTCATTCATCCATCCATTCATAATATCATTTGATTAATGCCTCATAAATTACTTTTAATTGAATTGAATACTTCACTGCAATTCTAAATTTAAGATAATTGTTTGTTTACAATTTGTTCATTTTCATGAACCATTTTATAGACTGAGACAAAAAAACAGAGTAATCTGAAAATTTTGCTTAAAAAAGAACATTTACACCCAAGATTAACAGTATAAAAAAACCCTAGTGATGACAATCAAATTGTTATAAATGCTTACCTTTGCTAATGGTGGGTGAACATCAAAAAAGAATTCTCCTTTGAGGTAGTAATTAGCATGTTTGCCAAAATGAGTTTCATCCCAACTACAATATCAAGAACATCAAGAAGAAGTTAAAACAATTTCATATTTTTAATTCT